AATACAATAAATTCAGCTATTTGCTTTTATTCAATGTTTTAATATATGATTAGTTTAATTAAATATACAAAAATATATAGTTCGTTTATATTAACTTTTAAAATGCTTTGTTTCTAAATGAAATGTTTAATATACTTCATACCTAACTTCATTATACAATTTGAATAATTGATATGAATGAGAAATGAGATCTGAAACTCATTTTCATAATTCAAAATTTATTGCGAGTTTGTGAAAAATTTATTTTCTCCTCTTACCCAGTGCTGATTAAACTAAATATGAAACGAGATGTATTTTTGGATCCTACTAATCATCTTGGGGAAATACTTTTCAGACATTTTTGATTGGAGGACCTCTTTCTGTAAAGGAACCGTTATTTACGTAAAATAACCGTACTATTTGAAGTCAAGTGAATTGAGTTAGTGAGAGAGAAGAAAGAACTTTAAGTTAACTATATTGGACATGTGTGTTGCTTTTAGAATATAGAAGAATTTATATTTGAATAGTTTGTGGGCTTGAGGAAAGAGTAAGCGACTCGTGTGAATATATATATTGTTGAATACAGCTGAGTATCTGCAGTTACTGATTAGTACAATTTCTTTATTATAAATATTTAAATTGGTCTAAAATTGACTTGCATCACGTAAGTTTATACTAGAAGTTCATGAGAATTGATTTAAAGGATAAGATGAATATCGCTTTTGTTTTAAAATGGCTCTTTCCGTAAACTTTCGCACAAGCGAGAGCGGAGGCTCGTTACAAACCAGTTCGGAAAATATAAGTTGATTTAAACTTCTATCGAATGTACAAGTAAAGAGGCTGATTTAAATTCTCAAAATAACTATTATAAGAATTTTTTTTATCTTATTCGAACTAAACGAAAATTACCTGCACCTTATTTAAACCCATCCACTCTACTCCATATGCTACACATAAGAATCCACTTTCTCCAGACATGTCTGGCAGATACCCCACCAAGCGTAAATGCAATTTGTTTACCAACACATTTTACGCAAAGTCAGGAATCCGACAAACTTGGTCTTTGTGAAGATCACACTTGTAAGGTGAATAACCAACATGAAAAGAGATGTGATCTTCAAGATGATCCTTTTTTCTTCTCGACAGCTCCATTGCTCACGCACCGTCGCCTGGACTCACGCATCCGTGGGCGTCAAGGCGGGAATAAAATATTTGGATTACGAACGTCCGATCGGTGTCCAGCGCAGAAATCCACTTCAAAGAGCTGTCCTTTTCCGTTTCCTATTTCGGGAAGGAGGTAGATATTTTTCAGAGGTGGACAATGTCCAATGGTTTGAGCAAAGACCATTTATTTTGGTTGGGGCATTGAAATCGGTCGAAAGAAGGCGTGCGATTTTAGATCGTTTATTCTTTCTTTTTCTGCGTTCGAAAATAGAACTACTAAGTAAAATGGGAAATATTTTTAAAAACTAGTTACTGAGAGAGAGATAATAGTTTTTGCTATAAAAGATAATAAAACATGTTAGAAGTTACACATTTGTCTCAATGTTTAAAAATAAATTTTCCTATTCAGCTTTTCTAAAATATTATTCAATACTTCTTGTGCATTGTTTTTTTTTATCAGTATTTGTGAAAAAGCATTAAGATTCAGAGATTTCTAAAAGGTTTCAAAGCTTAATATAAAGAATTACATAAGTTTTGTAAAAGTATTTCATCCACTAGTTCAGTTTCTTTATCCAAGTAGTATGTTTACAACTTGAAAAACTACATTTAAGCTTTTGTATTTGTAATATCCCATATTTTATTAATTGGTTTTGTTTTTAACCAACATAATTAACAAAACAGCTTAAGTTAGTTGTATAATTTTAGAATGTAAGGAATTCTGTTTGATTGCAATAGATCGATCAAAATGTAGATTAATTTTTAAAAAAGGCAAAAATTAGTTTGATTTTCCTTCTTTTCTGAGTGGCACGACAGCCCAGGGTGGGCCCTGGCCTTCTTAAAAAGCCTTTTCCAGGCCAGCCTTCTTCCTTCTAGGTACATTTATTTTAGTCTTACGAGTATTTATGTTGTTCTAGCGCTACTTTACCACCCATCCTTTTCTTTCTTTAGCTTCGAGATTAGTAGCAGAACAACTTAAACGATTCATTTAAAACTAAAAGATTCAATTGAGAATGAACTTTTTCTGTAGCACTATATCACAATCGAACTTTCAGAGAAGTAATGTAATCAGTTCAGGAAAAGAATTAAATAATAAATAATAATTCAAAGAAGATATTATATCACGGGGAGCACGTAGGTTTATCGTTTTAAATAACGTAACACTGTTTTAACTCCAAAGCATTTTAACTTCTGTGATAATTTTCTTTTGATATCAGCTGCTATTATTAATACCAGTTAAATAATATTTTTTAAAAATCAAATGAGAAACATTCGTACATTTCAAGATGTAATCTCTGGATCACTATATATTTTTTCATATATATAGATTGTTATTTATATTACGTTTATAGCTGCTGTATTGCAAATTAATGCATTAGTGAATTATTCAAATATACGATGACAGCAAACTCCTTAATTAAGTAGTTTTTGTAAAATTTTTTAAATAATGCTTACAATAAAATCGGGGGAATGTTTGTTATTAAATTTTTACTTCATTTTTATACATATAAAATTATGCACTAAAATTCTATAAATCTAACAAGTTTAAACAATATATATAAATACCACAAGACAATATAGGTCAAAATTAAATTAACCCAACAATATATTAGCACATTCTTAGAGATTAGCACATTCTTAGGAACTAAGACTGTTAGGCTAAATATAGTTTAAAGGACCCAATCTTCCCCTGCTTTTGCCTACATTACAGGGCTGAAGGGGGGGAAACGTCTATGAAGAATTTAACTAGTGGGTTTCTCTCTTTGTATGTATACATATATATATTAGATATAAAGGAATCTTTAGAAGTATTTAGAAGCCCAGTGATTGAGTGGTTGCCTTTTCACGCTATCCACACCACAGGTCCGGGGTTCTATCCTCGGGCTGGGCAAGGTCGACTCAGGGTTTCATCCCTTTAAATGGTCGATAAATGAATTCCAAGCTTGCTTGGGGACTAAACACTGGTGGTTTCACTTCAGGCTGACCACCTGATCGGGACATCTGTTCATGCACCTCAGTGTCCAAGGTCACGTTTAATGAAATGGGTACAATAGACCTTGGCCCTCATGGTCTGTTACGCTACTAAGTTTAGTTAAGAAGTATTTAAAAGAAGTGAAAAAAAGAAATAAACAGTTTATCTATGATATTGTTACTGCAAGTAAAAGAAAGTATGATAGAAGCTGATTCGATTTCAGATATCATTTTGAATTCGAAGTTAGGAGTAATTGCTACCTCATGTGGATCTGTTTCATTTATTATTACGTTTATGTGGTTCCAACTACAGTAAAATTTTTATTTTTCTGCTTACGTCAAATCAAATCTTAATTTTTTAAACATCTTCCTTTCTAAGAGTTTAGTGACAGATGTTGTCAAATCATAGATTCCGAATTTAGTGCCAATGAAGACCCTACTTGTAGAGAGGCCGTTAAATCTATCGAGGCTCAAGGTCCTTTCGTTGGATTCGTAGGGAAGTTTGAAGAGGGAGGAGTCAGTTTATGTGTCATCCTCGTCACTTGATCTTAGATCAGAATTATGAGGTCCGTCGCTAATAATCCTAGAGTTGCTTCAAAGTGCGAGTTAAGTAAATTAGTTAAATAAATAAACAAAAACTATCTAATTATTGGGCTTTCGACTAAATTAGGTTTGTGAAATATTACAATCAGACCTCATATAAAGAAAGTTGCTGCAATTGTGCAATAATTGCCATATAATTAAATTTTCATCGTATTCTATGTTATTTAACTAAGTAGACGAATGAAAATGAAACAATTTTTGAAAGTATTTTAAACATGAAACATAATTTATCTGAAATATTTAGTTGATGGCTTTTTTTTTTCATTTCGTTTCTGCATCATCTTGCGGTTTACGTAAATCTCAAAATTTCCAGAACAGCAAACCAATAACGAAAAGAAGTAGTAATAAAAATTCATTGAAGCATTTGTTAATGGATCGTTTGAAACCACAATAACACTCGATAAATATCTTTTATGTCCTTTTTTCGCAGCTTTTCAGCTATTTTTAAATCATCATCAGGGCATGAAGAACAGAATTACTTATATTTTAAATTTTATTATAAAAGCAAATTGCTTTTGTGGTTTACAAACGAGATATTTTGCTTAAGAACTGGTCATTTCACAGTAATTTACTTTTAAGTAGCAATTTTTTAAAGCCGTTTTCCCTTTGTTTTAGTTCATAATTTTTTGGTAAGATTCCAAGTTCTTTTTAGTTGATGCCTTTTCGGAGGTTTATTAAACTATTAAACTAATCCTATGATATTTTTACTAAAATGTAACAATATTATTTCATTTGCGGTATAATTTAGATGGAATACTTAGTAAACAGAGTATAATACTCTAATCTGATTTCGTAAGTTGCTTTTGTTTCAATGAATACATTAATGTACACAGTATTCTTAAAAATAGAATTATAATACTATAAGAGGATTGTTTATTTATTTTTTTTCTTGTAAGAATTTAAAATAACGTAGAAAAACAAATAGATAAAACTTAAAGCTATTATGTTAACACGCATTAAATTTTCTACAAATATGTGTTTTCGTATGGATAGGCAAAGGTCTGAGAGTTTTGCGAAGTATTTTATTTGTTCAATTCCTACTATTAGTTGACATTCTCCCTACATATATTTATGTATATATCTTGTTCAAAATTTCAATCATTAATAAATTACTTTTTATTCATCTTAAGTTAAAATACATTTTTTTAACTGCAGTGGATGGCACTTGATGTTCATGCAGTTTTTCAAATATTAATTCATTAGTTAAATTAAATTAATGAATAAATAGAGTAACAAACAAAAATAATAGCCCTACAGCATATATAAAAAGGAAAATAGCTTGTTGTGTCCCTGAAGTGCAATGGATAGCGCGTTGGACTTCTAATCCAAATGTCGTGGGTCCAAATTCCACCTGGGATGGCCTAATTTCTGAGAATGTGATTTGTTTTTACTATACTATTTTAAATTAAATTTGATTAATAAATAAATAACACAAAAAATAATAGTCCAACACGATATATAGAAAAGAAAATTACGAGGAAAATTGCTTTCTATTTTGCCATTTAATATTGTGATTCTGTCATATGTATATACATATTTATATTAATTCTTACTATTTAATAAAAAATAACTAAAATAAAAATTTTCTTTGTCGACCTTAGTAGGAATTGACTTGATTTTTTTTTACATAACTTGTTTTTAAGATATTTTCAAATTTCATTATTGTATTATGTTTTATTGTTTTTGTGTTTTAATTCAGAATCTATTATATAATTATTAAAAATAACTTGTAACGGGTTCTACTTGCGATTCTTATTAATCCTCTAGGGAATATACTTTCGATTTTATATCATTATAAAACCTCTTTCTGCAAAGGAGCCGCGATTTATGTTAATGAAGGCTACTATTTAAAGTTAAGTGAAGAGGATGGGGATTGTTGTCATACGGAGACTAAGAAGTTAGTTACAGAAGTTAATATTGTGGAAATTGCCATGGTTCTCAAGTTGAAAGGATCCGATATATCAGTCAAGGACTAGCATTATTGTTGACCCTCCGTAGATAAGTATATTTAGATTACTAATCAATCTGACGTTCTCCCATAGCTTATGTCAAATTTAGATAGTAATGAGAAAGTCTCATAATAAAGAGTATATTTTAAGAAAATGTCCCATCCTTTAATGAGACTCAATTAGTAAAAGAATTTTAAATTTCAAAACAGCAATTCTAAGATATTATTTTAGGTTACAGAAAATTAAAATTGATGTTGTTTCTAGTAATAAATACGTAAAAATATTTTTATTTCTTTTCAAAGTAAATTAATTGAATTTATATTGTTTTTATTAAAGTATATCTATTGATTCTTTTTATAATTTTAAATTCAGTCCTTGTATGGCTTTTTAGTTAATAGTAAAACTATTAGAAAATTGAGTTCGTTACAACATATTAATTTAACACTAACTTTTCCATTATACTTTTCATACGAAGAATTTTATATTCAAAGAGAAGTACAAAGAAAATATATCTTAAGGTACTTTTTCCTTCAAATATGGTTCTGCGGATGGGTAATTATCATTGCAGACCTAGTACATTCCCTGGGAGCTGATATCACTTTTAAGCGTGGCACCATATAAATGGATACCAATTGCAACTATATAATTTTGATGACCAGTTTCCTCCCTAGAGAGAGATTCACATGAGCTCTGACGATGGAAATTGTACTAGGAATTTAATTTTGCCTAGAGCTCCTAAGCCAAACAGGCACTCTAGATAGCTTTAACATGCCGCATAATTATACGACAGGGACGTTGTAGATTTTTTGCGTCGTGAAAACCCACCGACTTGCGCCAGGCTCGAACCAGCAATCATAGGCGTACAAGGATAGCTTCTAACCAATTACACCACCTAGCCGGCATTTGGAGTTTTAAATTAGAATGAATTATTTCAAAACCAAAGTTAAATTGCAATGCATTCATTGAACTATCTACTTTTAATTTTATCTCTAAGAATAATTGAACAGCAATGTAATTGCAACATTTATATGTTATGCTTTCAAATTAAAGAATTGAAATGATTAAAACTCTCAATTAAAAACCTTTCAGAAGTATATGCCTATTTTTCTTAACCTTAATTCTTAACCTTAAAAAGTATGATTATAAATAAATACTAACACATAATAGAATTCTCTCTTTTATTATTTAGATTAACTGAGCATATAAATATTTGTGCATTTTTCTAAAGCTTTATTTTTTAACAATACCAGTTCTTAGCAGAAATCAAAGCAGAAGCATCAAACAATTTTTCGTTTCCCATTCCAAAAATGCAGGGGCGATTGAAAAATATGTAAAATCGCACAATTGCAACCACATTTGAATGGAAACATATCCCTCCATTCTAATGTTGCCAAAATGCATCAAACTTCACAGAAAAAGAATTTGCATGCTCGACGCAGGATATAAATTTACACCCTCCCACCCTTTTGGGTCTTAGAATAAATCATTTGCTATATATATATAGATACATGACAATTTTATGCCGAAGTTAAAAGAAAGAATCCCTACACATAGCATGCCTTAGATATCGTTATAGATAGATACATACAAACGTCAATTTTTCACTTCAGTGGAAATATTGCATTACCTTATACAACTGATCTCATTCCTAAGAAAAGAAGTAAAAAGAAGAAAGAGGATTCGCTTTTGAAGCCCCGTTTTCTGCATCTCATAATGTCAACCATTCTTCTCTATGGAAGCGTTATGTGACATTGTAAGAGGGAGGGTTGGGAAGTTGAATGTATCAGGCCATGCATCCCCCTTCATTTTGGCAGGCCTGATCCATCAAATGTGGTAATAGCAACACATCCCATCTATATACAATGATATCCAATACAAGACAAGGAAAACCGAACCACTGTAAAAGCTAAAAAAAGGGTAACATTTTTCTTTTGTGCAGCCACTAAATTATACTAAAATTTGAATATTGTATGTTGTGTAATAGAAAGTAAAGGAAACTAAATGGAATCAGATAAAACGAATTAATCCTTGATTTCGGTGATATAATACGCTTTATAATCACTTTGAGTAAGTAATTGGGAGTAGGATTTAATATATACTCTATAAAGGAGAACCCTTTTTGTACAGCTTCTATTTCCATTTTTTATAGGAATTTAGTAATATTTGTACTAATATACAAATTTTCGAGAATTATATTTACATATAATTGTTTTATTTTAAGTTATTGCAATGCAAATTTTTTTTGGCAATTCTTATATTTAATTAATGAAATAAAAGATGTAAAAGTGGGGGAAAAGAAAAAAACCTGATAAAATAAAAATAAAAATGTCTTCCTGTCAGAAAAATTCCAATTTTTTAAATTGAAATATTTATTTATATCTCATCCTTGGAATATCAATTTAGCACGGAAATAGTATTTGTACTGAATAAAAGTTTCATAAACATAATAAAAACTCTCAGAGCATTATTTTCACTTTTAACACATTCCTTAGTTGTTTTTCTATGCAAAATTGCTATCATGATTTGTAATGCCAAAATATTATTTAAAATCTTGGAAAAATATTATTATACAAGTTCTTCTAGATGATCAGCAAATACACATATTGGCTCGTTTTCATTCACAGGATATGGGAAATAGTAACATGACATTATTAGGACTAGTTATTTAAATTATATGCGTACTGCAGTTTGGTAATATTTTGCTTTCTTTGTCTTTTTAATATCTTAGCAGTATTGCAGTACCGTGTTCAATAAAGCTCATTTTTTTCCTAAGGCAAAAATTGCACACATAAATCTTTCTTCTAAGGAAGCTTTAAAGGTTTTAAAGAGGATTTATGTTTATTACTTTTGTTAAGTATTTTTCACAACTTGTTTATTATTCTACCGTGCAACTAGAAATACTTCAATGCAGATTATTAGTGGTAGTCTTGTTTAGTTGTTTGCAGAGAAGCAAAATAAAAAATAATAATTTCTTTTATGAAATCAAATTTAATTTCCTGAAATGTTTAATGCAAATCAAAAGTTATCAAAGCGAGTTAAAATAATCCTAATCATATTACTCAGATAGATAGGCTCAAAAAAATATCTATTTTTCATTTATGAAAAACATTCATAAATTCGAATGCAACAATATTTTCATTATTTTCCTTCAAAATAGTCTTCAAGAGTTATCACATACTTACTCTAACGCAGCTTTTCTCAAACTGTGGGAAAGCCCTCGTGCAGCTGATCAGTGCGACGTTAATCTTCACTCACTCACTCACTCACTCACTCACTTACTCACTCGCTCACTCAAACTGTGGGCCGCGCCCCCCTTGGGGAACGCGAGCATATTGAAAAGTCGAAAACAAAAAAAATTATTTAAAAAATTATAAATTTACTGAAAGTAAGCAAACAAAATCCTTTCTGATATAATAAAATATAAAATACACATTTACGCTGATGTAATACACTTATAAATGTATCACTACTGCGCGATGTGTTTTATAATTAATTTAATAATACTAAGTGGAGAATAAGTATGATAATTATCGGTGACCCCATGGGCTTGTATTAAGACTTATCTTGATAGTTTGTACGGTTTATAATTAATTCCTTAACTGCCGATTAAAAGTTACGCGGTTCGGTCCCTAATGCCACCGTTTTCCACGTAAGCGCGAGTATTTTGATGGGTTTCTTGGAGGGGAGGGGGAGAAAAGAAATAAATAAGCAAATGCTCTGAAATGAGTAAATCCTTTGTAAACATTGTCAAGGTCCTTTTGTTGCACATTCCAAAGTCTTCAGAATAATTTTTATGGATAGCAGTGCACAGAAAAGATCGCACTTCGGAAAGACGTATATATACGTCTAGGAAATTAATGTTTTGGCAGAGAGAGACGTTTATTTACGTTGGTGACATATAAGAGGGTAAAGTAGTATTATTGAATTCAATACATTGTTATTGTATGGAGGGGGCGCGATGGAAATGATGATTGAATATTGGGTCGCGAATATTAAAAGTTTGAGAAGCACTGCTCTTTCGATTCAAACACTGACGGAAGCAGCTCTGTAACTCGCGGTTTAAAAAGGCATTAGTCTTCGTATTTTACATGATAAAATAGAATGAAAACCAGACTTCTCTTTAGAAAAGACTTCTCTCTTTTTTTACTCTGGTGGTTTTCTTGTATTATTGATCCACGAGAATCACTAAGATTTATACAAAGTTTGTCAGTAACTTTTTGTGTTCACGTTTTTATCTTTTTGTAAAATAAATAAATAAATAAAATTAATGCAAATGTATTACACATTGTTATTCCTTAACGATCTGCCAGTGAATGAGATTTTGCAGGAACGATTATATTCATGAATGAGAATTAAGACTATCTATGTGCTCAATTGAAAAATTGTGGTCACACACACACACAAATATCT